TAAAAAAAAAAAAAAAAAAAAAAAAAAAAAAAAAAAAAAAGAAAAAAAAAGTTGCCTATACACCCCAAAACCCTAAACCCAAAACCCTAGAGTAAACCCTAAACACTAATAATTCCTTTCCTCATTACCTCCAATATAGTATGTGGTCCTATTCAATAAGCTCTGAGTATGTCTAAACCCCACTAAACCCTAAACCCCTATAGTAAACCCTAAACCCTCGTAAACCCTAAACCCTCGTAAACCCTCATAAACCCTAAACCCTAAACCCTAAACCCTAAGAATTCCTTACCTCATTACCTCCAATAGTATGGGGTCCCATACAATAAGCTCTAAGGGTTTCTTTCTCCGTATTAAATGTAACAAATCCAAAACAACGACTTTTATTCAATTTACGATCAAACATTACAACAGCACTACGGACCTAAATACATAAACCCTAAACCCTAAACCCTAAACCCTAAACCCTAAACCCTAAACCCTAAACCCTAAAAAAACCCTAAATAGGGGGATTAAATATTTGTATTAGGAGATGAAGGGTCTTTTATGGGAAAGACAAAGTATTTAATTATGTGTATAGTTATATATCTATTCTTTATTCTCTCTCTTTTACTGCTACTTGCTGCTGCTGCTGCTGCTGCTGCTGCTGCTGCTGCTGCTGTTGCTGCTGCTGCTGCTGCTGCTTACCGCTCCATATTGTTTGAAGTAGTCCTCTAGTTCTGCTTCTGTAGTATTAGGGTTTAGTCCTCCAACAAATAGTTTGCATACATCAACAGGTTCCCTCTCTATTAATGGTGGTACTCCTCCTCCTGCTGCTGCTGCAGCAAACCCTGGTGCTAATACAAAGGGTACTGGGCCCATTGGGGCCCCTGGGGGGCCCCCAGGCATAGGAGGGAAACCACCAGGAAGAAGAGCTGCGCCAGGAGGTACACCGCCACCCTCCGGGCGGCTATATGGTAAAGGGACAAACATCGCGAGGGTTTAGTGTTTACAAGGGTTTAGGGTTTAGGGTTTACGAGGGTTTAGGGTTTATAGGGGGGGGAGAGGTATATAGACAAACAGAAGCGGTAATGAGGAGGAGGGGAAGCAGCAGAGGGAGCAGCAGCAAACAGAAAAGATATTATACTATATATATTATTATTTATATAGGAAGACAGACAGACAGAATCCTTCTGCTGCTGTTGCTGCTGACGCTGCTGCTGCTGCTGGTTAAGAGAAAAGATATAAGAAAAATGGATATATATAATTTATACAAAAGCAGCAGCAGCAGGTGAAGAATAAATGCTGCTGATGCCACCAAGACTCCTTCAACTGCTGCTGCAGACGCTGCTGCTGCTGCTGCTGGTACTGCTGCTGCAGCAGCAGCAGCAGGAAATGGTCTATATAGACCCACCAACCAGCTGCAGCAGCAGCAGCAGCAGCAATAACAACTGCAACTGCAACAGCAGCAGCAACTTATACACTTGCTGCAGCACCACCTACCCTAAGTTAACACAGACTCAGGCTCTGCTGCTGGTACGCGGGGGCAGCAGAACGTGCCTGCAGCAGCAGACTGCTGCAGCAGCAACAGCAGCAGCAACAGCAGCAGCCACAGTAAGAAACAAAACAAAGAACAAAACCCTAAAATTCCTTTACACAATTAAAACCTAAAATAAACCCTCCACCATCTACGAGCTGCTGCACTGCAATCTGCTGCTGCTGCTGCTGCTGCGGCTACTGCTGCTGCAGCCACTCTAATAATACTGATGCTGCTGCAGCCGCCGCTGCTGCATGCGCAGGCCTGCTGCTGCTCCTCCTCTTTTGCTGCTCCTATATTTAAATTGTTAATTTAATGTTTCTTTATCTTCCTAATCTTCCTTTCCCTTCTTGTATTAAAGCTGCTAATAATAACGCCAGCAGCAGCAGCAACAGCAGCAGCAGCAGCGTCGCTGCAACAAAGAGAGCTCCTGCTGCTGCAGCACAATAGGGATCTAAGCAGCACTGTATAAACCCTTTTCTTATTCTTCTTTTCTTTTGCTCTTTTTATGTCAATAAACCCTCTCTTCCTTCTTATATGATGCAACATTAGCACAAAACCCTCCGTATAAGGGTTGTACAACCTCGAGGGTTTAGGGTTTAGGGTTTAGGGTTTGTAACGGGCAAGGGCTAGGGCTGCAGCAACGCCAGCCACGTACTTCAGGGAGAAATGCAACAGAAGTAGCGGCAGCAACGGTAGCAGCTGCGGCAGCAACCCAGCAGCGCAGCAGCAGCAGCAGCAGCAGCAGCAAAGACAGCAGCAGCAACGAAGAAAAGGTCGCTGTCTGTCAACGGCAACCCCTGTCGTCCTTAGCTGCTTCAAAGACACAGCAGGACGAGCTGCAGCAGAAGCAGCAGCAGCAGCAGCAGTGCAGCAGCAGCAGCAGCAGCAGCAGGACGAGCGAAGCCATGTCGAGTCGATCTTGGCAAGAAGACAGAGGATACTCCTCCAATCCTTCTAACAGCAGCAGCAGCAGCAGCAGCAGAAGGAATTGGGATGTGAAGCCAGAGCAGCAAGACACAGCAGCAGCAGCAGCAGCAGCAGGAAGTGGAGGGAGATGGCGCAGCCGCAGCCCCCATAGAGGCTCAGGTTCTGCTGCTGCTGCTGCTGCAGCAGCAGGAGGTGCATTAAAGCGGCCAAAGGAGGAAGTATCATATGCATCTGCAACAGAAGCAGCAGCAGCAGCAGCAAGAGCAGTAACAGCAGCAGCAGCAGCAGCAGCAAGTAAGCAAGAAGCAATAAAAAAAATAAAAGAAGAAAAAGGAAAAGAAAGAAGAAAAGAAGAAATAAATAAAAAATATGAATGGGGAGGAGACAACAAAGATAAAGATAATGATAAACAAACTAATAGGAGACCAGGTTAGCTCCTGCTGCTGCTGCTGCTGTTGCTGCTGCTGTTGTTGTTGCTGTTGTTGTTGTTGCTGTTGTTGTTGTTGCTGCTAGTGCTGTTGCTGCTTATGCTGTTAGTATTGTTGCAGTTGGTGCTGCTGCTTCTGCTGCTGCTATTGTTGGTACTGATGTTGGTGTTGCTGCTCCTAATCGTGCTGCTGCTATTGCTGCTGTTCCTCATACTGCTGCTGCTGCTGCTGCTGCTGCTGCTGCTGCTGCAGTATTGAAGCCAACATTTGAGCCATCAGGTTTATTAGCTGAAGATGACGAAGAAGGACAAGAAAAAACTACAGCAGAAAAAAATGGTATCCCTCTTAAGGTAAGGTTTGCTGCTGCTGCTGCTGCTGCTGCTGTTGCTGCTGCTGCGGTTGCTGCTGTTGCTGTTGCTACATATTGTGCTGGTGTCTTGAGGATCTTGTAGAGAAGTTGTTGCTGTTGCTGCTGCTACCCATTGCTGCTGCTACAACATCCTCTTGCTGCTGCAACTACCTCCTGCTGCTACAACAACCACATCTGTTGCTGCTGCTGCTGTTGCTGCTGTTGCTGCTGCAGCATTCTCCTCCTGTGGATAGTGCCTTACCTGATAAGAAGTGGCGATTATATTTATTTAAGAAAGAAAACAGGAAAAGTGCTGCCTCTGCTGATGAAGAACCAACGAGTAAGTGTTTGTTGCTGCTGCTTCTGTTGCTGTTGCTGCTGTTGCTGCTGTTGCTGCTGTTGCTGCTGTATCTATATATATATATATATATATATATATATATATATATATAT